TTTTCTCTGCCTGTAGATATTTTATATAATTATTATGATCCTTTTAAGGTTTTTAAATATAATTTTAAAAAATTTTTTTGGTGGTCCTGGGAATTCAGGGCCTCCTACTTGCTTTGCAGATTCTCTACTACTTGAGCCACACCCCAGCCCTTTTTTGCTTTGGTTATTTTTCGGATAGGGTCTTGAGTTGTTGCTGGGGACTGACTTTGGACTTTGGTCTTCCTGCTTAGGTTTCCTGAGTAGCATGGATAATAGGTGGGTGCTACCACACCCAGTTTATTGGTTGAGAATGAGGGCTTGCTAACTTTTTTTTTTACTACATTTATAGAAGTTGAGTCATTTTTTTCTCATTTTTCATTTCGTACGTTATTTTTTATTCTTGCATTTTATACTGACATCAGAGATTTTTAGCAAGTAGAAGTAGGTAGGTGCCTTTCAAAACTGAAGAACAGGGAAAGCATTTTAATAACTAAGTGACTAGCCCTCAGTCTTTTCCTGTCATTGTGTCTTCCCTTTTCTGTTCAGTTAAACAGGAGAAGGACACATTTTCAAATAGATACCTCCAGTAACAGAAATACCTAGCTTAGACTGCACTTGGGCACAGATTACAGTCCACTTAAGAGCAGCTGCTCTGGATATTCCATTATTTCTTAGAAGTCTGCAGTTCCAAGAGACTTGGTAGTGTCTGAGACCCAAAGAAGAAGAAAGTCTGAGGGGTTAAGTGAGTTGGTCAAGGTCATGTAACTCACATAGTAGATTGCTGGGCATTGTAACCACAGTTGATGACTGAGCATGTACTCCCTCACGCCCTGAGTCTGTGAGGCAATGGTTAGTGCAGATGGAAGTGTAGGAACTTTCTTCTCCTCAACTGATGAATTAGGCAAGACTCAGATTACAGGCCTTTCCTGCCACTTTAAGAATTTTAGTCTATTATGTGAGCAGGCAGAAATCTTGGAGCAAAGGACTTAAGCACAGAGTAATAGGATCAAGTCTGCACTTTTGCAAGATTGCCTGTCCTCACTTGACAGAATGATCGTGGCTAGAAATAGATAAGATTAGGCAAATGTTCATAAATAAGGGCGTTGTTGCAGAAGGGTTGCTTAGATCTGGGTGATGGAGAAAAATGGGGAGACTTAAGGGATATGTAAAATAGTAGCTGAGGGAAGAGAGGAGTTCTGTGATGCCTTAGTTTCTGCTGTGTGGAGTTCATTAAGTTGTGGTGCCATTTGAGAGGTCCATGTTGTGGGGTGAAGATCATGAACTGTGGATTAAGAGTTTATAAACAGTTTGTTGCTTATAGGAACCAAAGCTCAAAGAAGAGTTCAGAGATAAAAGATGTGAATTTATTAGAATGAGATTTCCTAGGGAACGATTTTAGACTGAGTAGTGGCAGAATATGGTAGAGAGAGGAACAATACACTAAATTCCATACAGTGGGTATCTAAACAATGAAAGGAATCTATGCACAGTTTATCCCTCTTTCTTCTCCTACCACACCATATAAGCAATAAATTGTTAGTTACAGAGAGTGGGTATTGAACAGGATTATTTCTTGAACCTAAATCAATGAAATATTATTGAACTTTTTGGAAGTAGCTTAATCACAAAGAATGTAACAATATTTTTAGTTCGTGAGATTTTGCATACATTATACATCAAACTTACACCTACTTGTTTACAGTTAGAGTCATATTTTGTAACAAAAAATTACAAATATTCATATAAATCCCATAAAGTCTATAACATCCTATAGCCACTAGCAAGCTTCTGTTGCTGCACTGGTCTTCTTTACTCAGGTGTTGCATGCATTTTCTCAAACTTAACATGTCCAACTCAACTCTAACTTTCCTTTGACTCTTTTTCTCCAGTCTTTCCATCAAATTAGAAAATGCAGAGCCATTTTAATTCTCACTTCTTCCTAATTTCCACATCTCATTGAGAATCTATCCTACTTTGAGAATGTATCTCTATCATGTCCTCCTCACTCTATATCCATTGCCATCACTCTGGTCCAGCATGGCACCATCCCTTACCTGAATTACCAGGGTACTCTCTTCACTTCTCCCTTGTTTGTTTCTTCTTCAGTATTGTGCTGCATGGGTGTATATTGTGGCATCCACAAAAGTTCTTATAACAAATATATCATACTTGAAGTCACACCCTCCATCATTTTCCTTTACCCCCCCCTCCCCCATTCCTGGAATAGTTTGAACTGATATCATTTTTGCATTTACATACATGTGTACACATATTTACACTATATTCACCCTCCCATACCTTTTCCCCATCTCTTCCCCCCCCTCCCACTAGTACCAACTCTTCCAGTCGGGAACTATTCTGCCTTCCTGTTCTTTGATTTTGTATTAAAAAAAAAAAAAAGAAGAAGAAGAAAATGACATTTTTGTTTAAGGTAGTTACACAGAGAATTTCCTTGTGGCATTTCCATGTATACATGTATCATAACCTGAATTGGTTCATCTCTATTTTTCTCCTTTCTACCTTAGTCCCTTTCTTATGGTAATTTCAACAGGTTTAAAAATTCTGTGTTCATTCTTGTATAGAGTGTATATCAATTATATTCACCTTCTTAACTTCCTTCTTTTACCCTCACTCTCTCCTTATGTATTTGACCTCCCCTTAGCATTTTTCATAATATTGCTATATTTGTATTAGGTCTGTATTCCACATATGAGAGAAAACATGCAGCTTTTGGCTTTCTGAACCTGGCTAACTTCACTTAAGATGATGTTCTCCAGTTCCATCCATTTACCTGCAAATGACAAAATTTCATTCTTCTTTGTGGCTGAATAAAATTCCATTGTATATAAATACTACTTTTTCTTACTCCATTCATCAGTAGTGGGACATCTTGACTGTTTCCATAGCTTAGCTATTGTGAATAATGCTTCAGTAGACATGGGTATGCAGGTGCCTTCATTGTAACCTGACCCACAGAATGGGAGAAAAATCTTTGCCAGCTTTACATCTGACAAGGGATTAATAACCAGAATATGCAGGGAGGTCAAAAAACTAAACTCCCCCAAAAATCAATGACCCAATGAAGAAATGGACAAATGAACAGAGCTTTTTCAAAGGAAGAAGTCCAAATGACTAAAAAAACACATAAAGAAATGCTCACCATCCCTGATCATAAGGAAATGCAAGTAAAAACCACATTAAATTCTACCACACTCCTGTTAGAATAGCTACCATCAAGAACACAAACAACAACAAATGTTGTCGAGGATCTGGAGAAAAAGGAACCACCATACACTGCTGGTGGGAATGTAAATTAGTATAACCACTATGAGAAACAGTATGGAGGCTCCTCAGAAAACTAAAAATAGAACTGCCATATAATCCAGCAATTCCACTCCTAGGGATATACCTGATTTCTATCTTGCTCCCCCTTTCTGAGCCATTATCTATACAGATATTTAGGTATTTTCTTCAGGAAATTAGATCTCTTTGCTCCCTTGCTCAAAACCCTTACATGATTTCCTTGTACTGAAGATTAACTTCAAAACCTTTTTCTTGATTGACAACATCCAACATACAGTGGTGCCAGTCAGCCCTGCCAACTTCACTCTTCACTAGTACTATTCCTGCCTTGAGTGCCCCTGTCCCAACCCTCATGTGACTAACACTCATCCTTCAGATGTCCTCTTAAAGGCCAAGCCTCTCTTTTCAGACATGTCTCTCCTTGTTGGAGTGGCCAAGGATTGCCTCTTCTTAGGGCCGATCCTAAATGACAGAAGGAGCAGCCAGTGTGAAGCCTGCAGCCAAGATGACTGTCAATTAAATCACAGCTACCTTCAAAACCATGAGAGGGTTTGTCCACAGAGCCAAATGATTCAAAGATTTTTAATCAGATGAGGCATACTTTGGGAGAAGTAAACCTCGGCAATTGACTCATTTAGATTTTAAACTTGTTTAACTAGTCTTTGTGATGCCAGTGGCTCAGCTCCACAATGGATTTATTAGGGCCCAGTGACTGCAGTGTTCAGGTGCCCGTGCTCAGTTTCCTGTTGGATAGGATGCATGCATCATTGACTACAAAAAGATGAAGTTCAAAGCCAGTGAAACAGGGCCCCATGTCTCAGCTCTCCTACTTACTAGCTGTCAGACTCGAGTGACATGTGTCTTTTTTCTGAGTCAGTCTGCAATCTGGTGGACCATGGTAAAGAGTAAATGATATGTTTGTAACCTAACACAAAAGTAACACCTGAAAATGACTCTGCTCGTTGTCTGCTTACGACACTTATCTTTAGGATAAATTTATCAAATTAACAAAATTTAAACTGCATTTCATTAACTTAGAGACTAGGTAGTATAATGTATGCAAACTTTTGAAAAAGAAACAATTGAACATATTGACTACAATTCCTTGATGGCTCCACTTATGAAAGTAGGAAGAGAAAGGCCATTCTACATCTGAGGCACAGATAAATGTTACAGAGAATACAGTTTCCTTTAGTTTTTATTTGATCTTTTTATTCTCTCTGAAGATGTAGTCTCAAAGAATGTGGAAAACTTCAAAAGCAGAATAGAAGCACTCACTTTTGACACATGAGGACCTTTGTGACTTTCAGTTTACCCAGTGATTTTTTTAAAGGCCTGCAATAGCGTAATATCAAGAGTGGAATTGTGAGGCAGCCTTCCATATTGAAGACCTAGAGTAAAATCGTAGGTCAGAGTGGTTCCACACAGATAAATGTTTAGCACGTGAAGAAAAAAGAGTGTGTTCCTATTTTATGTCTTTTGTCAAATTTTAATCCTGTCACAGGTTTTGGATTAAGAATTTGTTGCATTTGTATGCAAGGAAAATTTTAAGCTCTCACCAGATTAATCCCAGTAGGTATATGAAGCTCTTCTCTGGCCCGGACAAAGCAATTGTAGAATTTTACTTCCATAAAGAATTTGTCAAAAGAACCAACTACAAAAATAATTGTTTGCTTTTATTTATTGGTTTAATCCACTCCCCTACTTTTTCCCCCTAGGATTATGATAGTTTTTTTGAATCAAAGGAAAGCAACACAGTCTTTTCATTCTTAGACCTGAAACCACGGTTGTCATCAAAGGTAGGTTAATCTTTCCTTATTCTTGTTTTAGAATTCAAGTTTCTGGAGTTGTCTGTAGGGATTGAGGTTGAAGGTGTAAAAGGGATGAACTTGCAGTTTTTGCTTTCTCAAATGCATAATTATAGGATACCCCATGTTAAAACACAAAGAAGCCTAATTTCTTTTTCTTTCCAAGTTTTAATTGTTGCCATAAATTAGAATACTAGTTTGTAATTTATACCTCAGTCTTCCAAGAAGAAATTAAGGCAGCAAAAGTAGTAACTGCTTTCTATTTTAAATTGTAAATTTACACTGCAGTTCACCCCTCTGTGTCTATAGGTTCCACATTTATGAATTTATCTTAACACGGATCAAAAATATTTGAAAACAGTTTGAACTGTATGAACATGTACAGACTTTTCTTCTAGTCATTACTTCCTAAATAGTACATTATAACACCTGTTTACAAAGCATCTACATTGTATTAAGTATAAGTAATCTAGAGATGATTTGAAGTGTGTGTTATATACAACTACTATGCAGACCCGAGGAAGGCCCTGGAACCAATCCCCCAGAGACTCCAGGGGATGACTGTACTTGAAGTTTTTTGAAAGCCATATTTGAAAGATCTTTTGCATGTTTAATGTATTTATCTTGGAGGAAAAGACGGTCTATGATAACAAACTTCAAAAATGCCACAGTTCCTAAACCAACCACATATTTTCAGAAGCCCCTTTATTAAACCTTAAGTCTTTTAGAAAACATAAAGAACATAAATTTGTCTCTACATATGAGGTGTGTGTTTTCAAAACTTTATCAAGCACATGGATTTACTTTCAAAATAATAAAAAAGATTTATTAAGGTAACAAAACCAAAGATATTTATTTTTCTTTAAAAACACTTGTTTTTCTTTCTGATTATAAAAGTGGCCTAGGCTTATTTAGACAAATGGGAAAAAATACAAAAAAAGTAGGAAGTAGAACATAAAAATCAATACCCTGAGCTAACTGCATTGATGTTTTTGCTTATTTCCTTGAAGTCAATTACATAGTAATTGAGGTTTTGACTATATTTCAAATTGAATTCTAAAGTGTCTAGTTTTAATAGAATTGAAATGGAAGTACATTACTGGGAACTTTGAGTCTGTAAGAGGTCTTTTGAGGCTACCTAGGATTTCTCCTGTCTTTGGAACACCTGTGGGAGGAGGCAGTGACCATTAATAATAGAAATTATATACCAGCACCTGCAGTGCACAGCCAATGGGAAAACCTGCTTTGTTTTTATATCAGTAAGTCTACAGATGGTTGTGGGTGGTTTCTATGCACATGTTTTAAGCAGAGGCAAAACCCACACATAAAGTATTTACAGGCTCTTAAACTATTTTTATAAAGATGGAACATTTGAATACTTAGGGAAATTAGAGTATTTGTATAACCTGTTTCATCCAGAGATATTGAACAATCCAGATTTATTTTTAAAGAACTAGAAAAAAATTGGGGTATGGATGCATAAACCCAGTGGGCATCATTGTCTATGTGAAATCTTTTTAAGAATACTGTGTGCTTGCCACCTTTGTTGTCATTTTACCAAAGATGTAGATTCTTTAGAGACTCTGTAGACTGACATTTTTATTCTTTAAACAATTCTCTCTAGAATTTCTCAAGAAATTTATGTTTTATAAAATGTATGTTCTCATGTGGCTGAGGCCATGGCATTAAAGTTCTCTTTGTCCTGTTGAAGCTGACGTGATTTCAGTAGATAATGCCAAAAGCATCAGATTATGTGCATCTGGGCAGGACCGTAGCCGATGTTGTGGCACAGACACCGTGCCACTAGCTCTCACGGACTGCTCAGAGGTTAACAGCAGCTCACATTTAATTTTTATATGCGGGAACTGAAAATATATATTAAAAACAATTTATCATTTCCCTCTATTTAGCCAGGTGCTTTTCACCTTGGTAATAATTCATTATTGGAGGCTTTGACAGATTGTTCACAGATTTAATATACTGTCCTTTCTCATCTCCTTTCTTATTCCCACTACACTATACACATATAAAAGACAAGGCTGGAAAGCCACCCAGGAAACACATAGGAACACTTTAGCATCTGTGATTGCCCTACACTGCAGGAAAAGTACGTTCATGGGCCCCACAGGCACAGATGCCCTGTAGACTCTGGGCTGCTCCCAAAGCAAATGAGAGGCCACCAAATGATGACCTGCAGACCATGTTGGCTCTGGATATGTTGTTTGTCCTGCACAGAACTTTTGAAAGTAAAAAGTATACGGGTTGCTAATATTTAAAACAGATTTCCCTTTCTAACTTCTTGAAGTTGGGAAGTGTGGAAACTTGAGTGGGGAGAGCACTTTCCCTTGAGCAGTGGCTGGCCACCATGATACCGCCTAACTCTGGGAAAAAGAAGCCTTCTCACTAATTTTCAAGGAGAACCCCATCACGTTTGTTATTTTAATAGACTCTAAGCAGAACCTGTTGTATAGGTTTCTGCTTCCAGGTTCCTGCCATTTAGGGATGATATTCAAAATACATAACAGCTGATAAACAAGTACAATTAACCGGCCAGTCCTGGAGCAGGTAATGGAGGCCTCCTGTGCCAGGTGACAACTGTTTAGGTTGGATCATGGGGGAGGGGCAACTGTTTACTAACAGGTGTGGCCATTTCAGTGCTGTCCTTCACCTAGGGTCAGTGTTAACCAGTGCCCCTGCAAGGCCCCTGAGAGGTAGCACCCACCCATGCATGAGCCATTACAACAGTGGCTGAAAACATGCAGGTTCCCCTTTTATGTTTGGCTGTTTAGGTGGATGTGATTTAAATCTGGACTCTGATTCTGGAATCCAGGATTTGTTCCTGTCTACCACATAAGGGTGATTTATTATGATTTCCAATATCTCTGTTCCTGACATTAAAAAAAAAACACTGCCAAGAGCAAATTTTATTGTCAATGCTATGCAATAACTGGTGGCTTTTTTTTTTTTTTAAATAGGCAGACCCTTAGAGAAGAAAAGTGGAAAATGGTTGGAGATGCATATTGGAGCACCTTCTGGTGCTCAGCACACACCTGCTTACCTAATGCATCACTGTGACAAAAGCCACATGCATCATCAGTAACTGCTTGCCATGGAAAAGGTGTTTTTGGAGGATGTGGGTGTAATGGAGATTGCATGATTGCTTTAAACTAAATCAGGACTATAGTGGGTTTTTTTCCTTAGTTTCAGATTTGCTTGCAGTTGCCTCACTCATCTGAAAGTACCTGTTAGAGGTGTTCTCTTGAATGACTTGTAGATAAATTGTTGGTACCATCAGAGAGAAAATGTTGGATCTGCCTAGCTTGTAGTAGAAACCAATGTTGCATAAACCTGCTCCTCTTTAAGCTGCCTGTATTGTATGCTTGAAATTCGTCTGCCAGGCTGTTAGAATCTTTGAATCAGAAAGAAAAACAGCATGTTGACGATTTTCTGTAGACTAGCAAATGTCAGTGCTTCAGTGGTTTGTAAAAACACTTGTTGACAAAGTTAGACATTCTACACTCCTTTTGGTAATGGATATCCTTATCCTATAATACTCTAAGCTCCTACAGATGTTTCCAACAATCATATTGGAATATTGCATGATTACAACCAAGTTACAGGGCTGAAAATTATTGCTATTTTGGAAAAGATATGCTTCTTCATCTTTTGCAAGGGGAAAACTTTACCTAGATACGTAAGACTTCTTGAAAGATATATTTTAAGAGATACACTAATTAGATAGTAAATTTATAGGGAAATTGTCTGATTAGTATCTGAAGGCATTTTCAACTCTAGTGATTTATTTATACATAAGTGCACATATATTTTTAAATGTAGCTCCCTACCTAACAGCTGCTTATTCTATTTTGTGGAAGGATTATATTTTTTTTTTGAGAAAGGAAGATCTCAGATATATTTTGTGAATCCTTGCTGAGGCATATTAAAAGATAATATTTCTAGGGGCTATAGCTCAGTGATAGAGTGCTGGCCTACCATGCGCAAAGCCCTGGGTTTGATTCCCCAGCACCACACACACATACACAAAGATCCCAATACTGCTGTACAGTTTAATCTTTTTTCCTATGTTACTTTTCATTGTTTCTTTACATTCATTGTTCCTATTTCTGGCCAATTCATGATCTCAGACTTTTCAGAGTAATACAGACACACATTCTTATTCCATATATGAACACAAGTGAAATTTCAGAGTGGCATGTATGAGAAAGGAGCTGTGTAGAGAGTACTCTGAATTGTAGTTGGCAAGCGAAATCTCTATTCCCGTTGGAGTAGATACTGGTGAACATTAAATGTGTCTGCTTCATTGGGGCAGAGACTACTTTTCTATTTCCTTATGTTTTTAGTGTTTAATTGCCAAACATGGGAACACCTTGAATAGCATAAGTCTCAGCTGACTGAAATATTTGACTATCCCCAGCATCGTGATGCTGGACTTTTCATTATGATTCTGAGAAGGAAATGTGTAAGAAATTGAACAAGCAAATGCATGAAAACTTCCACTCACCATCCCCCACCCTGTGCCTTGCTAAATGTGGACTATTTGTAAAGAACTTTTTGAATGCTAAAGGTGAAATCCTAGCCTGAGATTTGCAGTCCAGGACTATAACTAGAAAAAAAGCATGGCAGGTTTCTTCTTGACTGGAACAGACCCATAATCCACGATTTTCTCTCCAAGGAAAGCTTGTTGTCAAATCATTGCTACTGCTGGTTAGTTGGTATTAAACAAGATCCAGTTGTAATTCCATGTGATAAATCCCAGGGACTATCCAGGAGTGTCTTTTCCTAAGTGGATATTGTGTTTGAGTATGTGAGTCTTCTGATAAAACTTAAATTCATTTTTAAGATACAGCAATTTAAGAAATTGCTGTTTTAATTACCCAGTTTAACATTTAGTCTATTCTTGACAGTAAATGCCAAGAACTAACTTGGAAAGGTTAAGACTTTCTGGGTTATAAGATCTATAACATAGTTGCTAGAAAGAGAAAGCTTACCCATGTTTTGTCTTACAACTTTTGAATTAACCATAATATATTAGTATGACCATATTAAACATACTACAGGCATACTAGTGCTAAATTACTGCCACAGTCACATGATATCTTCTTACCAAAAAAATTTTTTGAAAGGGGAGTATCAGCAAGGATATAGAAGAGGCCAGCCTCAGGTAATACTGTACTGTTGTGATAGAAGCAGTGTTTGGCTTTTACCACAGTACCCAGGCTCTGCAGAAAACCAAAGTACTGCCTTGTGGGACCATGCTGTGTTCAGAGCACATTGGGTCCTTCCTTGTACTCTTACCAGCTGAATTCCAAGCACGAAATAATGACTTTCTTGTTCCCTTTAACCAGCTGCCTTTAGGTTTTGATAATCAGTCTTTAAAACCTAGGAAACAAGTGGATTTGTAGGCATGGATGTAATATCAAGGGCATTTCAAGGCAGAATTTTAATTTCCTGTACTAGGCTTGTTGGGACAAAAGAAACATGCTGCTAAGAATCAGATTATGTTATTTTAAAATTAGGTAAAATGTAGAGTGCCATCCTGCTAAGTATATGCATACCAGAAGAAAATTTAGTTCAGAAAATACTTCTTTTTCCAAATTCTAGGATTTTATTAAAATCAAAAGGAGAAAAGGAAAATATTTGGCCCTCAGACTAATATATTTTAGGTTTGTTTCTGTTTTATAGGTCTAGTTCAACATTCACATGTACATGTTTTATATTATATGAATTTAATAATGAATTAAATATTTTTGTCTTTTGTTATTGAATGGTACCATAGGCTCTTTCTGTTTTGTTTGGTTGACTTTATTGTAGGGTTTTGCTTTTTCTAGGAATACTTTTCTTAAGTGTCAGAGTCCCCTTCAATCTGTAAAATTATTGTTTTTAGATCTCAGTTTGTGTTTGTCTCTAAAGGCATTGGTGAAATCTCAGATTTCATATTCAACATTAAAGGAGAATAAATTCCAGAAAACATGTACTCTGAAATTTTGTTTCCATTTAATCCTGCATTTGGCTGAACCCTTTCTGTTTAACTGGGAAGCTATTTTTCTCTCTCCTCCATGAAACCCCATGCACAAATGCTGCAGACTGAGAAAAACACAGATCGTGTGACATGTGAGGAGCCATGTATGTGGTCCTGAGCATGTTGAGAGGAGCACACAGAATCATCTCAGACAGAGACCAGGGCTGAGGATGGAATTAATCATTCAGCCACTAGGTTGGTTCAAATGGACTGATGCCATGGGTCACTGGTACAGTGAACGGACAGCGTGGCCACAACTTATTTTGCTAGGGATCCATTTGAGGTAGCCAGCCTCCTCAAAGCAGGAGAAAACATTTCTGAAGGCAATGTCTGAAGCCAATTTCATCATTGAGGTACTTCAAACTTTAAACACCAGGACAGAGGAACGGTGGGGGAAGGGATGAAAGGGAACAAGCTGTAAGCTTCACAGAAATGTGCTAAAGCATTAAACCAAATTAGCAAATAAGCCTTGCCTGCCTGTGACCCAGACTTCCAGAGATTTCCTAGTGCTACACCTGCATGTCAGGTTAGTTTGTCATCCTTTTTGCCAGCACGTATTGAGCCCTTAGAATATAATGCATCCTATGTGAGCAGGACAGAAGTCTCCACCTTCAAGGATAAGGGAACAGAAATGAAAGCAGCAGTTATAGTCAGTGGTAAGTGGTAGAGTTGAGGTAAGTTGTTAGCATTCCAGGATACAGTTCCTCATCTGACATAGTACATGTAGTCTTTCCTTGTTAAAACCATCCTGGTTTTAAAGTTTTTTAGATATGGAATGGAATATATATACATGCAGATGTACGTGAATATTATATATATTAAAATATAAAGACTAATAATAATAAACAAAGCCCTTTGAGCCAGCCCCCCATCTTACTGCCTTTCATTGTGGGCACCATGTGCTTTTCCCTGAACTGCCTCTCGATAAAGTGAGCCCTATCCTACATTTGTGGTGATCGTAGCCTTCCTAAATTTTATTATTTTGCCTCCATGTATGTATCCTTAAAGAATAATAAATGGAATTAAACCAGATATATTCTTCTGTCACTTCCTTTTTAATGTTCATTGCAATGGGGGTTTTCACTGCTGAATATTATTCCGTTACATGATTACATCACAGTCTTTCCTTCTCTATTTGCTGGTTATTGAACTGCATTGTTTAAAATAAAAAATGGAAATTTTGCTGTGAAAGTTCTTTTATGTGATTCCTGGGCACATACACAAGAGCGGATGCATACCTTGAATACAATTGCTAGGTTGTACAGTAAAAGCACATCAGCTTTAATAGACAAGGTCACATTGCTTTCCAAAGTAGTGGTACCAACTTATGTTCCCATTGGTATACTACAATTTTCAGGACTCTAGAGCCTGGCCAACCTTTGGGATTGTCAGAGTCAGATTCCTGCCAAGCTGGGGAGTATAAAATGATAGCTCACTATGGTTCCTCTGGCATATTTTTTATTATTAATGGTATTTCCTCCATTGTATCTTTTTTTTTTCCAGGTCAGTTGTGTTTTTAGCTATTTTAAAATTTTCTTTATACTTGCCTTTTATTAGTCAATACTTGATTGTTTTTGTTTTTTGTTTTTTGTGGTGCTGGTGATCAAACCCAAGGCTTTGCACATGCTAAACAAGTGCTGTACCGCTGGGCTACCCCACCCCCAGCCCACGATTTGACTATTAAAATGAAGAGAAACAAGAATTCTTAGAAAGATGCTATATTTCCAAATATGTGGAAAGCATGTGAATCTTTTATTTTGTTTAAAGAAAATAAAGTTAAGTGCGTATATATTTTCATGTGTGCTGTTTTTCAGCTTGTTAGCATATCAGCCAAGAGAGGTACTTTGGGAACCTCTCTTGCTCTAGGAGGGTTTCTTCTGCAAAGCCGTTTTAAAGCTCATCACTTCCAGTTATTTGGCAGGAAATTAATGCTGTTAATATTATGATTTATGCTGTAGGATTTCACTAAATAGAAATCTTTTTATAGACTTCTTGTATGTGTGTGTATGTATAGTGGGCCTGTAGCAATATGTTATGCTTAAAAGAACATTCTCTCAGTCACAGGAGATCATATTGAAACTGCTCATAATTTGGTAATCCCTAAGTGGAGTAAAGTGGATGTGTATAGTGC